TAGAGGTATGCTAATTATAAGTGTTACATCTTCAGAAAAAGAGATAAAGAACTTGAAAATGAGGACAAAAGGAGAGCAGTTAACCAAATGATAGAATAAAAAGGAATCAAAGAAACAAGGGAGTTATGGCACGGATATGAAACAGGCTGTCCTGGTTTACTGGTCCCTTCCCAGGGGCTTTCCCAGGGGATAGTCATATAGTAAACCTGTATCTCTCCCTCTATCTCTCTCCCTCCCTCTGTGTTTGTGTGCGTGTGCGTGTGTGTCCCTCCTCTTATGTTTGGCCCTGCCTTCTCTGAAAAGCTCTGGCATTTTCTTTTACAATTGTCATAAAGCTGCCTAAATCTGTCAAGCATGTGTCTGCTCTTCCATGCCATTCCATCACTTCATCTTAGGTCACATGCCACTCAAAACAGTGATAACACCTTAACAGAAGAATGCTTGCTAGTAAATGTACACAGAATAAGAAAATTAGAAAAATCACCATTTTCTAATCCCAATGTACTATTTGATTGAAACAAGGGTTGTCAATGGATACAAAAAGCATTAGTAAAATGTTGTTAAGGAAAAAGAGATTAACAAATTCCAATGCATTACACAATGGATTATTTAAAAATTATAAAGGAAAAGATATACTTTTACAATTGAGACATCTGAGAGTCACCACCTTAACTGAGTGATCAAAACCATCATTACTAATAAAGGAAAAATCTGATATGATATGTCTCAAATGGGATGTGCTTTGAAATAGAGATGATCACCTACCAAGCACTCTTGTCAAATTGTTTAACGTGTATCTCATCAAGCTCTAGACCTAACTTCCCATTTCCAAGAAAGATAAAGGATAGAAAACAATTTAGTCAATGCAAAAGACAATCAGATGAAAGGACATTCTACAAGACAGTTGATCAAAGCTCTTTAAAAAGTTAGTCAGAAAAATAATATGAGAGGATTATTCTATATTAAAGGAAAGTTAAATATATATAACAAAATCAAATGTGTGCACTTCAATTGGGTCCTGTTTTTTTAAAGTGTCTATTAAAGGCATCTGGTAATATCTGGATAAATTTTAAATATTGGGTGGATGATATTATATAATCATTGTTATTTTCTTAAGCATTATAATAATATGGTTCTATAACAGATTGTCATTATTCCTAGGAAATACATGGTAAAGTACTTTAGGTTGAAAAATCCCAAAGTCTGGAACTTACTTCAAATGGTTCTGGAGTATACATCCAGAAGGGAAGGGGGGAAGCATGCACAAAAGTAAAAATATATATATTTTAAAATCTATATGAATGGCATATGGCTATCTAATGTTCATGATACAAAGGTGTTAAGTATCAGTAATCGTAGCACACTGTCTAAAGATATTTCTTTGAGTGTATTTTCTGGAACACTAGTTGCATGATATGTCAGGAAAAAACAACAATTCCATGGTCAGATATTTTTATGGAAACTGCACAGTAAATTCCTCTTGCAGAAATTCACAATTGTACATTAATGATAATAGTACGTGCATTAATTTCTTAATGCTTCATACAAACTGTGTGAGGTATAACTAACTATATATATAATATAACTAATGCTTCATACAAACTGTGTAAACCCAGTTTACAGTTCTAGAAACTAAAGCACATAAAAGCTAAGCCATGTATCCAAGGTTCAAGATCACACATGGAGTTAAGATGGGAACCAAGGCAGTCTGGTTCAGGAGCCACAGCTACTAACTGCTGCGATAGACATTCAGAGAAGCTCTTCACTAAAGAAGCTTGCTTAACTCATAAAATACCCAGTATTTCTCATCATTAGTATTTCTATGCTTTTTCTGTGTAACACTTTTCAGCTTCCTTTAATATCTGAGAAACTGGTTTATGTCCTGCTTTCAAGGATCATGCAGTTGGGCTTGGAGGTAAGACTTAATACACATGTAGCAGCAAACAATAAAGCAACATCGACTTAATTGATTAATTGTATAGAACAATCGACAGAGAGTTCTTTAAAGAAAGATCAATCTCCACCTCTTAAACTAGAAAGCTATCTTAGATGGTCTTAATAGCCAAGGAAAAAGAAGACATAATCCAAGAAACATGATTTAAAAATTGACTTTTGAATTATGGTATAAAAAAGATGGGTTTTATTCCGTAAACTTTTCCTCAGAATTTAAGACTCTACTTATTATTGGTTTCAGCTTGACTTTTAGCAGTTTGAATAACTAATCAAGTACAGTTTTTTTTTTAGAGAGGTGAATACAAATATATCAAGATGATAAAGAAGACCATTAGATACCCTTCATTAACCAAGAAGAAAGTTTCTTACCTCATCAGCACCCTTACCATCTACTTTACAGGTATGCTTGCCAAGATTGAAGGCCATATATTCTTTTCAGGCTTAAAATCGCACTGCAAAGAAATGATGAAGAACACTCTTTTCATATATATAAATGTACACTAAAACAAAAATGAGAAAAATGCCATATCTAGAATTTATGTAGAACTATTTGCTGTTCAAAACACTCACATGTGTATTAGATCATTATGTTAAAACTGGCAGATCAAAGGCAACCATGAGCAGCAACATTAGAAATATATCCTCAGCTGCAGAGAACCATGTGTTAGTATGTAGTATGAACACTTATATCACCAATGCATTTTTAAAGCATTATGTTCTAGAAATGTCAATGGAAGAAGCCTATAATAATTTAAAACCATAAGTCTCTAACAAAGACTTCTTTCTAGATCATGAAGCATTCCAAAATTGCTTACCTACTTTTTGATTGGCACTGAAGTGGGGTTGTAAGCTGTGATATTAAGTTTTCCATTAAATATTGTTCTCAGAAATTAGTTCTAAATTATATATTGAGTCTCTCTCCTTATTCTGATGCCACACTGCTTCCAGGTCATAGTGTAAGCTGCTTTCTTTATATAATGCTTTCTACTTTCCCTACAGATAAGTTTCTGACACTAGGGATACCTAGGCAAGATTAATATGACTTTCCTACTTAATATAAATCTTTCGATTAGCTGCTGAATGGACTATTCTTTAGGATTGCTATCTAACTTCAAGAAATAATGCTGTTTATCATCTAGTCCTGAAAGCAGTCGACCACATCTGGATATTTTTGTACTGTGAATTCAGAAACCATGAAATATAAATGTGCTACTATCAGCAGTGAGCAGAAATCAAATGAGTAATGTTGGTTAGACAACCGAAGTGGTTTATATTTCCTTTACATTCCTGATATTTTAGTTAAATACAAAAGACTATTAATGTTACAGGCAGGGATATTTTTGGCAATCAGACTTCAAGGTGAATAAATTCAGGAAACATAATTAAGGATTTCTAATATTTCATGTTTTTTCCTCCCCCTCCCCTGCCAGGATTTTTAGACCAGAATGAGGGTTACTCTGAGAGACACTACAGCAAAACGTAAGGCAGTTGTCAAATGCTCATCACCCATATATGTCCCTGGATATTAAACTGAAGTCAAATTTTATGAGACTGTCACCTGACAGGATTTAGGCATGTTTGTTTATTTTTCCCATCTTGTATTGTCTATAATAGGATATATGAAAGATTGTCTATAAGCAAATTTATGGTGGAGGCACTATTTTGCTCTACTAACAACTTATTAAACTTAGCAATTTTTGGCAAAAAGCAACATGTGACTAAGAAGTAATTAGACCATTTTGCTTATTCCGGCCATAGACTGTTTCTGAATGCAGTTCTGAGAAAGGATTTTAAAAGTGATCTCATTTATTTCAAGAAGTGCCTACCACTGACATAGGTTCTAAAACTTTTCAATCTAAGTGCTAGGCCCTTGGGCTTTTTTCTTTCAGAGGCAGAGGAGCGAGTATTGTCTTCAACTATCATAATTGCTTAAACAGAGCAGTGGAACCTTCTAAAGTCTTCGAATCCCACCCCCACTCCCAAACACGCACATATACTCATTGTGATATTATAGGATAGCATAAAATAGAAATTAGAAAATCTACTTAATATCTTAAGTAGATTTTATATGTAGATTTATCTTAACAATGCAACCTAATTATAGAGACTACAGCAGCAGAGCCAGTGGAGATAGTAGGATTGTTTGTCCTGACTGCCCAGTTAACTCCAGTCTGACCAAATGACCTTCTGAAGTTAATAAGAGTCCATACAGCTTTCTCACTGCTCAGTTTTATAAATCATTTCCTGAATTACTCCTGCATTTGGGAAACTCCTGAAATCTTGCTTTATCTTCCCTTTTCAAGGCTGTAATCGTATTTTACATCTGATGTGGCTTCTCTGACCCATAATTCTTAGAAAGGATCAGCACTTGCCTACAGATGCAATTGCTTTTTCTACTCCTTTGAATTTCCATTTTTCTTAACAAAAATTAACCATTGTCCATTGTCTATCATTCATTTATTCAACAAGTTAGAAGTGAGTGCTTACTGTTAGGTTTTGAAGGGAAGATGAGGGTTAAAGAAAGACACAGAGAGGGGGCAGCTCAAACAGCAACACAGGTATATTGCAGACACCTGCGGAAGTTGGGAGCCAACTTATGGCCAGACAGAGCCCACCGCCGCTTACAGGCTGGGGTACTTAATGGATCTGAGTGGGAGAGATCTGGGCCATATGGCTTGCTGCCCGGCAGGATATTGTAAGATGTTTCCATGATGAGGCAGTTCTGGCCCTTGTTCTTCCAGAACATGGTGTTTCTTTGCACTTTATCCCAACAGAATATCATAGGGATGTTTCTTTAGTTGAGCCTTTGCCCAGTAGAGTATGATAAGAATGTTTCTTCAGTTGGGCCTTTGTCTGCCTTGTGGTCAGGTGGTTAGGCAAGATGTTTCTCACATCCTGAACCTCGGTGAAATGTTTCACTTTGGCCAAGGTCTGCAAAATAGCGGGGGGGGGGGGGGGGTGCTTACAAAATGTTGCAGTCTGGACTAACATTCTTGCCTTCTACTTTACTATAAAAGAAAGATGAGAGTTATTAATTATCTGGCTGCTTCCTGCTGAATAGGGGCACTGTAGTCAGGGTTTGGGTTTTGAAGCAGTGTGTCTTCAGAGTTGTTTTGCTGGAGGCGCTGATGTCAGACTTGGTGAAGAAGGATGGTATTAATGTGTTTCTAGGTGGCTGTCTGGACAAGGGAGTTCAGTCTTTGGGAGATAACGCAGGATATAAAGGTGAGTACACAGGGGCAACTGTTAGTATTATGAGGGAAGAAAATTAAGGGCTCTAAGAAAGGTGTTACCAAGCATCCACTTTAGAAAGAATGACCCTTGCCACCAAGAGTTAGTAATCCGATGTTGGATGTCTGCAGCCTGGTCATGGAGCCTTAGGGCCGCGTCATGAATAATGCTGGATTCATTAACATAAAGACAGCATTGTTTTTGGAAGTATACACATGTATCCCCCTTCTCAGCGATTAACAGGTCTAAAGCCCTTTGGTTTTGAAGGACGACTCCCGCAAAGGAGTCTATCTGCCTTTGGAGGCTTATAATGGAAGTATGCATGTCCTCTAAGGTATTATAGAGAACTGTAGAGATTTTGTTATATAAGGGAATTGAGGGTGATATACCTGCTATTCCAGGGCCAAGTGCAGCAGAGACGCTTAATCCTCTTACCAGAGGAATGAGATGTAGAACCCGCTTAGTGCATGTAGAGGAAGATGAGACAGAAGCTACTACAGGAACCTGGATGGTCTGGTTGTTTGGTAGGATGTTAATGTTTGGAGACTGAAATACTAGGGTGTCTGTTCCTGACCAATTGGCCAGTAGACAGCGATAAGAGTTTGTTTCACACAGAAAAGACTTGGGGTTGACAGGCAAAAGTTGTAAGTGAAGGTAGTGAGGGTGGAAGGTAGAAGGTGGGGTTGAATCCTGAATAAATGTTTGTTCCAACTCCTTGTTTTTCAAAGTTGAATAGTTTGTAGAAAGGGTAGTCCCTGTGAGTGCCTGATAGGGAATGTTGGTGGGGGAGGAGGTAAAGGCTGTTTGGTTTTGGAGATAGAGAAGGAGATGGGTTTCGGTAACTAATAGCCATTGTGGTTCTGACAGGGCCGAAGTATAAAGGTTGCAGTTGAGGGAATCATGTGCATTTTTTTTTTCCAAGAAGCACCCTTGAGTTTGATACATGGAGAGTTGCACCGGCAGAGAGGGGCAGGATTGGTAGGAAGTGTTTTATGAAATCCAGCTTGTAACATGTTTCGTTTAGAGGCCATGAAGCAAAGGAGGGTGACATCCCATTGTGTGACAATGTGGGTTTATTTGATGGATTGGGGGAAAGATGTTTAGCTGAGCAAGATTATAAACAGGTTTTGGGAATGGATTGACTGAGTAGGTGAGATGCAGGTTTATTTTGGACCAGGTTTATGTGGTTAGGTTAACAGGAAGGGCTGTGATCTGCTGGATTTATGTGGACAAATAAATTTAACAGTTGGAAGAAAGTGGGAAGTGTAACTGATTAAAAGATAATGTGTGAAGTTGACAAAGGGATCCCAACTGCCAAAGCTTAGGGGCGGGGACTTAGAGTATCCAACAGACAAAGAAGACAAAAAGAAAGAAAAAAAAACAAAAATGGAGATTTGAGTAGGAGTGATATGTTAGAAGGTGTCCTGCAGCCGTAACTCCCGGATTAATGTGAGGAACTGGAGTGGCCTATCCAGGGACACGGGAGGGAATACTGGGAAAGATTTGAAACAAAGTATGGATAAAAGATTTGAAATTGGAGGCAGAGAATGTCATGGACCAGGGCCTTCTGGGTCGGCAACTTCTTGAATTTTTGTTAAGTGCAGCAAGGAAGAGGAAGAATAATTTGGGGATGAGGAAATTTCTGGAAGTGGAACTGGTGGTCTTTTTAGTTTGGAGTGGTATATCCAGTGCGGATAGGATGTTAGCTTTGCCGCCATGAGAGTAGTTAGGATTACTGGGTGCGGACCCATCCACTTTGGTTGGAGAGGGGAGGAGGAGGAGTCTGCGATTCAGACCCAGTCCCCTCGTTGTAGGGACAGGGAGGAGTGTCTGGAGGATGGGCTTTCAGGCTAGGGCAAGTAAGCATTTGCACACTGTCTTATTAGATGTTGAGTGAAGTATAATGCCGGCCAAGTATCCCATATAGAAGTGGGAGGAGATGAAGGGAGATCCTGGAGGATAAAGGGGCATCGGTAAATGAGTTCAAATGGGCTTAGGCTGAGGGGTTTGTAGGGAATGGCTCACAAATGCATGAGGGCCAATGGCAGAAGTGAAGTCCAGGTCATCTTAACTCTAGGGAGAGTTTGATTAGTTGTTGTTTTAGAAGGGCATTGGCCTGTTTAATCTTACTGGAAGTGACAGGGAATATGGAAAGCCCATTTAATGTTTAGAGCCTTTGCTAGCTGTTGTTTAACCTGTGAAATAAACATTGGCCCGTTGTCTGACTGGATTGTAGAGGGAAGTTCAAACTGGGGGATAGTATGAGTGAGGAGAATAGAAGTGATGGTGTGTGCCTTTTTGGTGGTGGTAGGAAAAGCTTTTATCCAGAGAAGATATTTACTACTGTCAGAGGTATTGGACTCTTTTTATGGGGGGGGAGGGGGCATGTGGATGAAGTCGATTTGCCAGTCCTGCCCTGGCAGGTGTCCTCAGGTCTGGTGTGCAGGAAAGGAGGTGATTTGATAGCTTTCTGAGGGGAAGTGTGAGTGCAAAGGGAACATGCCTTAGAAATATTTCTGAGATTAGCAGCCATGGTGGGAGAATGTATATAAGCTTTTAAGAGATGCAGTAGGGGGCAGTAACCAGCATAAAAATTGTTGTTCACTTATAAAAGCACAGAAGTTTTTTGTGACTTGGGTAAGACAATTTTATTATTGAGGTAGAATCATTTTACTTCCTGAATGATGCCAGCATGGGTGACTGAGATTTGTTCCTCTTGGGCATATATAGAGTGTATGTTGGAAAAAAAGGGCAATAATGATGGGGTTTTCAAGGCTGCCTGCTGGGCTGCTGAACTTGCTAAAAACTTTCCCTTGTTTATGGCATTTGTAGCCTTTTAGTGTCCTTTACAATGGATAATGGCAGCCTGTGGTGGTAGTTTAGCCTCCTCCCGCAGCTTGCATATGAGTTTGCCATTTCCTACAGGGGCTCTTTTTGTAGCTAGAAAAACCCTTTCCGGCTAGCTTAAGGCACGAGAGTGTAGGATGTGGTATGTATATTTGGAATTCATGTAAATGTTAATTCTCTTTCCCTTTGCTAGGGTGAGGGTCCTGGTTAGAAAAACTAGCTTCACCTGTTGAGGGGTAGTATGAGGTGGGAGAGCATTGGATTTTAGGAGTTTATTTTTGGCAGTGATGGTGTAGCCAGCTGCTGGACATGGCTCCCTAAAAGAGCTTCTATTAATGAACCATGTAGGGGTTCCCTGCAAAGGGGCTTCCAAAATGTGTTGCAAGTGGGAAGATAAGGAGTCTAAGAGGTCCAGGCAGGAGCGAGAGAGCTCAGAGTTGAAGGTGTTTACAGGGAGAAGGATGGCCAGGTTGAGAGCTTTACATTTCTGGAACGTGATTTAGAGGGTTTCCTATGAATAAGGCATGTATCTGCTGTAAGCAGGATGGTGAGAGAGATAGAAGAGATTGATGGCTTATGAGGTTCTGTAGGTTATGGGAAGATGCATTACACATAGTAATGTGTTGTTAGAAAGTGAGTTTCTGTGCCTCTGAGGCCAGCAATGTGGCCACACCTAAGATTTTTAGGCACAGTGGCCAGCCTTGAATGAGAGTCCGGTTGTTTTGAGAGGTATGTAACGGCTTGTGGGGCATTGCCGTATGTTTGGCAGAGTAGCCCATAAGCAAGGCTTTGGTCAGAAGGTACATACAGAGTAAAGGGCTTGGTGGCATTGGGCAGTCTCAGTACTGGGGCCATTAAAAGGGCATTTTTTAAGTTTTTTAAAGTGGGAGTTGATGGGGCGAGCTGGGTTCAGGGATTTTAGGATGGGCCCATGTGAGGCCATGTAGAATGGCTTGGCCAGCAACCTCAAGTTGGGAATCTACAGCTGGAAGTATCCCACAAGACCTAAGAAGGAGAGGAGGTCCTCCTTTGTGTGGAGAAGGGGAATGTCCCAATTTAGCTCATTTCATTGGGTTGAGATGGCCTGAGAATTAGGGGTTAGAGCAAGCCCAAGGTAAGTGACCTGGGTTTGGGCTACCTGAGCATTTGTGGGTGAGACCTGATATCCTTGACTATGGAGGAAATTTAAAAGCTGAGTGGTGTGTTGGAAGGACAGGTTAAGGGAGGGGCTACAGGGAAGGTTATTGATGTATTAGAGGAGGGTGCTAGGAGTAAGGGGAAGTTCAGCTAGATTCTTGGTGAAGGCCTGTCTGAATAGGTGGGGACTATCCTGGAACCCCTGTGGAAGTATGATCCATGTTAGTTGGGAGGATGTGTATTAGGATTTGACCAAGTGAAAGCAAAAAGACTGTGGGGAGTCAAATTTAAGGGAATAGTGAAAAAGGTGTCCTTTAGATCCAATACAGAGAAATGTGTGGTAGATGAGGGAATATGGGAGAGTAGAGTATATAGTTGGGGACCACCAGATAGAGAGGCCTAGCTAACAACTTGGAGATCCTGGACCAAGAGCTATGACCTGTCTGTCTTACTGACAGCTAGGATAGGGGTGTTGTGGGGAGAGTTGACAGGCTTTAGAATTTGAGCTTATAAAAGTTTACAGATAATAGGTTTGAGGTCCCTAAGGCCAACTGGGTTAAGGGGATGTTGAGACTGATGAAGGAAAATGGAGGGGGTTTGGAGGGTTTTGTGACTGGGATGTGATGTGTGGCTATTGTGGGTTTAGAAACGTTTTGAACTTCAGGATTAACAAAAGGTAACAGGGTGGATAATGAGGATGAGGGGAAGGAGAGGGAAGCATCTGGGCGGCAGAGTAAAATAAAAGGGGTGGAATTGCAGGAGGCAAATCAAGAAGGGATTTACTTTCTATGTCCCTCCCCAAGATAGGGGTAGGACACTGAGGAATAATCAGGAAGGGGTGGGTGAAGGGGGTATTGAATAGGTTGCATAATAGAGAACCAGTCTGTTTGTGCCTAGAGGGGATTCCATTGACTCCCACAAATAGAGATAGAAGAACTGAGGAGGGGTTCAGAATATTCTGCTAAAACTGAGTAACTAGCCCCATATTTAATAGGAAAAGCACAAGCTTC